ACGAGCTGCCAGGGCTCAGGGTGGGGGGTACAGGGGCAGAGGGGCTTCTTTGGAGCTTCCTAAGCACCCGTCTTCATCTGCCTGGCAGGGCCCAGGAGACCCTTGCATTTGTACAACCCGTGAGAGCATCGGGCCCCATCCAGCTTGGCTCCGTCCTTGCTCAGCGGGTCCCCTGGGCTGTCCCCACCTGGGTGACAGTTTTGCAGCTGGGGAGGACTTTGCACCACCCACCCTCACCCACTGCTGGCGCTCACACCTGCTTCTGCAAGGCACTGCTGGGGCTGCAAGGTCTGGAGCGTGCATAGCCCCCCCCACAGGCTCAAGTGACGTGGCCGAGCGCTGTGTGGGAGCTGCAGCCACCCTGGTGTCCCTCAGGAGCCCATGGCCCTGATAAGTCACTGCCCCGCTCTGCAGGGACAGGTAGGGCAGAGCCTGGGGGGGAGAGAGGAAAGGTGCATGGTGCCTGCTGTGTCCCAGGGGAGCACAGAGGGGTGAATCCTTCATTCTTCGCTGCTCTACCTGCCCCATCATTCCCCAAGGACAAGGGAAGCCAGCTGGAGCCCTCCATGTTTCCTCCAAGTCCCTTCCTCTGCCAGCACCCATCTCCATCTCCATCCCCATGCCCATGCCCGTCCCCATCCCCATCCTGTGCTGCCCCTCGCTCCGCAGGCACGTCAGGGCTGGGCTGTGCCCTTGCCCACGCCGAGCTCCTCACCTCTCCCTCTGACTTCTTCTCTTCCCAGGGGCGCTTTCTCCATCGTCCGGAGATGCGTGAAGGTGTTGGCAGGACAAGAGTATGCGGCCAAGATTATCAACACCAAGAAGCTGTCTGCTCGAGGTGGGTGCTGGGGAGGGTTTTGGGGAGGTAAGAGGTGAGTAGGGTTTGCAGACAGGGGAGATTGTCCCCTCTGCGTGGCACTGGGATGATGCCTTTGATGAGCAGTGAGGCAGGGGTGGTTTGATGTGTGGTGGAGGAGCCCCTCATCCCTATCTCCACAGTGATACATGCTGAGCTCCTTGATGAATGGGGCAAACATCCCAGCCATCTTGGTGGCTGCTTGCCACATCCCATCCAAACATCCCTTGGCTGTGCAGGGCTCTGGGGGGCTTTCAGACCCCAAACTGGCCAGAAAGCTGTAGGACCTCATTTCTCCCCTTAAAACAGCACCACCACCACCACACTGCCCTGCGTGTTGCACCAAAGTAAGTCAGACTGCTGCCAGCCTTGGGCACTGGGGAGCACAGTTAATTCAGGAGCATCACTCTTCCCTGAGAGGATCCCTGCTGACCCCTCTATCCCTGCTCTCAGGGGCTGTGGGTTCCTTGCTCACATACCTACATCAGTGAAGTGGGAAAGTCTGCCAAGTGGGGGTTTGATTTCATTTCTACCTGGAGATGGGCCCTCACCTCTTGCTGCCATCTAATTAATCACTCCAGTAGAGCACACTGGCTGCTTTGCTGCTGGAAAAGGTGCTGGCAGGTTTGTCCTGCCTGCTTCTGGGGGCAAGGCTGAGCTGAGCCAGCAGAGAAGAGCTTCTGCCAACTCTTGCCCTGAGGCAAGGACCCCTCTGCCCCCAGGAATCTGGCAGAGAAGCTGTGATGGGGAGGATGGAGAGGATGGGACAGCAGCTACCATGTCCCCAGCTCCTGCTTCTCCTGGAGAAGTGCAGGATGAGTGCTGGGAGCACGCACCCTGCCAGGAGGGTTTAATTAACTCCCTCCCTTGGTTTCTCTCCCTGATGCCACTGCTCACGTCTGAAGGCAAAACTGAAACACAGAAAACGGTGACAAACTCCTTTCTGACCTCAAATTAAACCAGTGCTTTGCAATCTCCCTCCTGCAGCACTGCTGAAGCCACACAGCACTGACACTGACCCTCCCAGTTCCCCCAGCTCTGGCCCCTGCCCCTCTCTGGCAATGCAGATCATTCCCCTCCTCCGAAGCCGAAGGCTCCCAGCCTGGGATGGCCGGCCAGGCAGTGTGCAGGGCTGCCCTTGGCACTGGGCTCCTGCTCGTGTTCCCCACGCTGGCAGTGGGGCAGCAGTAAACGCCTCCCAGTTTGCTGGGCTGCCCAGAGGAGCAGGTTGAGCTGCCTTCCCTCTGCTCCCTCCTGCCTCTGCTCGCCTGCTCCTGCAGTTTGCCCTTCTCCATCCTCGTCTGAGGTTTGTGCTGTCCCTCCAGTGGCTCCGTGTCCGTCTGTCTCCCAGCGAGACCTTGCTGAGGTTATTTTTACCTTCCCTGCCAGCTGAAATCACTAGCTGCTTTTGCTAATGGTCTTGAAACCCCCGTTTCTGCAATGCTGGCATGAGGGGATGGCACTTCCCCATGCTAGGAGCATCCCCAAAGGGGCACAAGGGAGCCATTGTCCCTCAGGGATGTGCCACTGGCTGTCACAGGCAGGGGACAGGCGTGCACAGAGGAGAGGGGTCAGGGGAAAGTGAGAGGAGCCACGAAACATCCCCCTAGTCTCTTCAGATCTCCTCCCAGCTGTCGACATGAGGAGCCAGCAGGAGATGAACTGGAGTTTTTGGAGGAGAAATGTGGTTTGGGTGGAGGCAGGAGCTGGATTTGTGGGTAGGAGAGGGGCTGTGGCCATGGCTCGCTGCCCCCAGCAGCATGTCACTGCAGGGTGGACATGCCGCGGGGGTGGGAGGATGCTCTAACCCACAGCAGCTGCCCCCCAGCTGCCTGAGGGACGTCCCCCTGTGCCTTCGTCCCTCTGTCCCTCTGCCCTGCTCTCTGGCACAGCCACCCGTCTCACATGCCAAGCCCTTACAAGCCCTGTCCTGGAGATGGGCACAACTGAGCGTGCGGGCACAAGGAGCAGTGCCATCTGCCCTGCTCTCTGGCACAGCCACCCCTCTCACATGCCAAGCCCTTACAAGTCCTGTCCTGGAGATGGGCACAACTGCGGGCAGGCACAAAGAGCAGTGCCGGGACCTGCTCTGTCCTTGGGGTCACATTTGCTGCTCTTTCCTGTGACCTCTGCCCCCTTCCAAGCAAGCACAGGAGCTTTACTGGACACCAGCAATGCTGAGCTTCCCCACGGGCCATTTGGCCCTGACCTCCAGCCTGCAGATGCGGAAACTGAGTTAGAGGGTGACAACCGGTGCCTCATCTATAGATGACTGACAGGAAGGAGCAGAAAAGGGAGCAGAAAGCAGCTCCTCTGTGCCCCAGAGAAGTCTGTGAGAGTTTTCTCTCTATCCCACCCCTGTCCTCCACCACACCATGCACTTTGGTTGTGAAAAGCAACAGGTTAAACCCTGACGTCTCCCCGTTGCCCCATCCCACCCTGGGCAGATAGACCCCGTTGGTGGGAACACCACGGGGAGCTGAATGAGGCCACCGAGGCTGTCCCAGCCTTGGCTTGCAGATCTCAGCACAGGCTGCAAAACCCCCCCCAAGCCCTAGGCTGACTCGGGGGGTACCGAGCCCTGGGGAAGGCTCCAGCCCCAGCAGGGAAGGAGCTGTGTCACCTCCTTGTCTCAGCGGTCGGAGACACCCCGGGTTGGTTTGATGCAGAGCGAGACGCTGGGGTGTGAACCTGCAAGGTAACAGCCACGGCACCGTGAGACGAGCAGCCCTAATTATATCCTCCCTTCTCCAGGCTGCTGGGTTCCTGCTAGCACCAAATGCCTCCAGACAAGGCACCTCCCTGCAGGGTGGCTGGGTCAGGTATAAGGAGGCAGAAAAGTGCTGAGGCAGGGAAAAAGGAACAAAATGATCTGAAATTTTATCGCAGGCTCCCCCAGGGTGAAGGCTTTTTGGGCTCAGCTCAACTTGTTTTGCCCAGAGCTACGTTGTCTCACATCCCCTGGCAAAAGTTGGGCAGAGGGACTGTGGTGTTTGGAGATGGGCACCAGAGCAAAGCAAATTCTCAAAGCCATGGTTTTGTGATGTAGGAGAGCAAAGAGACGATGTGAAATGGCTGGGGGTGGAGGGGGGGGAGTGGGTAGCTCTGTTTCATCTTGACATCTTTTGCTGGTTGGCTCGGTCTTCAGCTGTTCAAACTGTACCATTCGGGGGAAGAAATGTCCTTGCTGACAGCCTGTGCTGGGCTGAATAAGAGAAAACCAAGCAGGCGCTGCTGGCATTGATAACTCAGGCAATGGGGTTTTAGGGAGCAAAGGGAAGAAAGAGGAGGGTGATAGATTGTCCAAAGTCCAGGACTGACCTTGGCATCAGTTCCTGGGGGCTTGCCTGGGGGCTGCATCCATGCTGAGATACCATCCATCAGGCCCTGTTGCTGACCATGTACCCAGACTCGTTATTCTTCAGCAAACCCCCTAAAGGACAGGGTTGCTCCTTGCCAGCTGCTCCATGCCCTCAGGTTTCCTGCACTGGCAGCTCCTCTGAGAGAGTGCACCAGGAGCTGGGAGCGGTTTAGTCCGTTCTCCAGAGCCTAATTTAGGGCCGTTGCCTCTTTCAGACCACCAGAAGCTGGAGCGAGAAGCCCGGATCTGCCGCCTCCTGAAGCACCCCAACATTGGTAAGCACACCCTGCCAGGCAGGCAGCTGGCAAACCTGCCAGTGCCCCGTGGCCAGTGCCACCGCCTGCCCACCCACCCTCCTGTGTCCCCAGCAGTGATTCAGCCCTGCCCGAAGCACCACGGGCTGTTTGTCCTCCCCTCCTGCCCTGGCCCCCATCCTGCAGATGGAGAAGGGGCTTGGTGGCCACCTGCCCTGTTGATCTGCAGAGCTGTCCCTCCTCTTCCTCACGGGAGGCTGCATCTTCAAAAGGGGTCAGGGGACGAGAGACCTCCGCCGAGCACGGGGGGATTGAAGTAGGTCCTACCTAACCCACTTGGCCATAGCTCCCTCAGGGAGAAGCGGGGCCCCAGCAGGCTGCAAGGGCCTATTTTTACTCCTCTCCCCCCGCTCGGGTGCTGTATTCCTCGCTCTGCGTGCTCCAAAAAGTGGCTGCAGCTCAGAGCAGCAGCAGCAGCAGCACGGGGTGTGTGGGAGGAGCGATGGTGGGGGGAAGCGAAGACTTTCCCACCGACCGTCCATCTGAGAGTAGCCTCCTTCGGAAAAGCTGTTTCAGGAAAACTCCCGAGCCCCTGCAAAAGACAAAAATAGGCCAGAAGAAGAGAGAGAGGGGAGGGGAAAAAACTGCAGTAAAAAAAAATAATCCCAATCTCCAGCCTTGAGAGCGGTGCTGGTGCAGGCTGTGGGTCCACCGGGATGCTCCGGCAGTGGGAGTGGGGATGGAGCCCCTCTCACCTCTCACATCACTCCAAGATGTGCTGATCCCGATGAGATCCTGAAGCTTTTGGGGGAAGGGCAGGAGCTCTGCAGTCCTCCAGGAGCTGGGAGGTTTCCCCATTGGCTGAGCTCCTCCCTGGCCCCCTCGCTGCTCCTGGTGCCTGGATCCATCCTTCCCCAGGACCCGCTGCAGCAGATCCAGGGAGCTGCACCCAGGGCCACTGGGACCAGACACGCGGCTCCCGCCTCATAAATATTTCAGTTTGGAAAAAGCCTGTCAGCTTCCATCTGTCTCAGGCACACGGCAATGTGGCAGGTCTCCCCTGCACGTCTGAGGTGCTGGACACTGCAGGATCCGACCACCGTCCTTCCCCCTGCCTCTGCTCTGGCAGGAGCCATGCCCTGCCTGGGAGCTGCCATGCCAGGGTCCTGGTGGGGTGTCCAGCCTCCACCAGTCAGAGCAGCAGCCACGGCCTCTCCTCTGCACCAAAATACACGTGGGCATTGCTGAGACCAGAATGAAACACTCTGTAAAGTGTGTGAATAGCAAGAAATGCTAAAAATGGAGGAGTCCACCCCAGGAGGACTTACAGGACGGTAGCTGGGCCATGCAGTTGGAGCTCCCTGGGGTTCCCAGCCTGGCCCCAGCCTTTCCCTA